TAAGCACAACATTTCTTAAATTGTTTTCTATTTTTTTTTCTTTTGCCTAAGTCTCATGACCGACTGCAAGTTTATGGAGGACACAAAGACATGATTATGTGTATGACCATCCATAAAAGCATGGTGAGCATTACTTGTCATATTAGATGTTAAGTTGGCAGTCTGCACACTGATGTTACTACTTGTGACTTCTTAAAGAGATCAGACATCTCTTTCTGATACATACCTCAGTACTGCATGGGTTTTTACTCAGGGTAGTAGGGAGAAGTAATCCAGTGACAATGGCGAATATTTCATTTTTATTAATAGTGAAAATAGTTACAGTAAATAATTTAATGCCATCATTAAATAGATGATATATTTAATGTTTTATTTTTTAAAAAATTTTGTGTGTGTGTGTATGTGTGTGTGTGTGACCAGCTCAGCCCACCAGGGGGCGGGGCTGGCTGGCATGTGGTGCTGGGGGATCGAACCGCGGTCCCTGTGCTTTGCCAAGCTTGTTCCAAGTCAGTGCTCTAGATCACTGAGCCATCTCACCAGCCCCAGATGATATATTTAAAATGCCTCAAAAAATTGTGTGATACTTTTCCAGAAGCCTCTGAATAGAACATTGGAGTTGGGAGATTTGACCAGCATGGTGGAGTTATAGTGGACCTAAAAGTAGATCCTGTTAAGCCTTCCTTGATTTTTATTTTTAAATTATGAAGTGGAATCAGGATGGGTGTTTTTAAACTCTGTGTAGTAGATGCCTTTCTTGAAGTGAAATGTAGATGTCTGATACACAATACCAGTAGAAGCCATAGTGCCCTAGTTAAACAGTAAGTGGCCCCTTGTGTGGGCCAATGTTGCTGGAGACATAGTTCCAAGAGGACTCCAAGGGGCACAGCATCCAACTGTCTGGTCTCTGAGATTTAAAAATTGCTTCGAACCGGGGATTGAACTCAGGTCCTTGCGCTTGCCAGGGAAGTGCTTATTCCACTGAGCCATCTCCCTGGCCCCTTATTCTTACACTGTGCATCTGGTTTTGCTTCAGGTTAGTGTTTTTATTTTGAGAGTGTCGTATAGCGTTTTTTCGTGTGCATTTTGGTCTGATACTATAACTTCTTTCTCCAGATTTACACTGGCTGTTATGATGGCAGTATTCGGGCTGTGAGGCTCAATCTAATGCAGAATTACCGCTGTTGGGTAAGCAATGAAATTGTTCTTCTCACCAGATTTAGTATATGTGCTGCCAGAGCAAGCAGTCTTGTCACCAGATTCAGGAAATGCTCGGGCTGCTTCAGAGCTTTAGCAGCAACATGGTAGCATTTTTGTATTTGAGCATCTCACTATGCCTTTCACTGTAGGACAAAAAAGATTTTTATACTTTTTTAATATCATAAAGTTAGACATGAGATCTACTTAAATATTGTCCTCTCAGATTATATCTTTGGTGGTTTTTGTTTTGTTCTGTTTGTTATAAAAAATGCTTGCTTAAAAATATCCGTCATTGGAGAAATATATGAAATAAAAAGAATTGCTTATTTTTAAAAACTGTCCTGCCAACCATACCCACGTTTCAGGGATTGCAAGTATTTCATGGATTGCATGTGTCCTCATTCACTTCTGAGGGATAGGTAAATAAATGTTTTATAATCTCTTAATTTACAATGCATGCGTGATGGTGCACACTTGTAATCCCAGACCTTGGGGAGGCTGAGACAAAGATTGCAAGCTTAGCCTGACTGCAAGCTTAGCAATTTAGTCTGTCTCAACATAAAAAGAGAAAAAGAAGGCTGGGATGTTGCTCAGTGCAAAAGCCCTAGGTTCAGTCACCAGGACTGCAGAAGTAGAATAAGAGCTGGAGCGAACCCTGTATTCAATCCATAGCACTGGGTGAAAAAATGTGAAGTTTCAGTTTTTCTGGTTTCTGTTTTGAGGTAGAAACTGGTGATTAGCCCCTTAAAACTTCATTATTCTTTGTAAGTGTTACTTTAAGGGAAAAAAAATTAATTTAAAGAACGGTAGTGACCAAAAAAAGTTCATGGTGCAGAATTTCTTTTCCCCAGCCCTAATATCCTTGTCGACACTGATGGGATGAACTTGACACTCAGGTTTTAGTTTGATTTTAGACTAACCCCCAGCCTAATTATTTTCAGCTTTTTTTTTTTTTTTTTTGCTCTGAATGCCTTCAAGGCATGATTGGCTGGCTTGTGTTGTGGGGATCGAACCACAGCAACCTGAGCCTGACTGCTTTGTTGAAGCAGCCACTTAAAGAACTGAGCTAAGGGGCAGACCCCCTTTTCAGCTTTTTTATGTACTAATATCTCTGCTTTTAGTATTATCAAGGAAGGCAAACAAAACCTAGCACAAGATCTGTAGAACACTAGAGAAAATACCTTTCATTTCAGACAGACACTGTGCCATTGAACTATATCCCTGGCTGATCATACCTTTTATTTCAAATGTAGCAGATACAATATTCTGACAGAGGAAAAACTAACTAGCATTATTTTTAGAAATAGAAGCCTAGTGTGGTGGTGCACACCTGTAATCCTAGCACTTGGGAGGCTGAAGTAGGGGGATTGTTGGGAGTTCAAGATCAGCTTAGGCTACAAAGTGAGCGCAAAGCCAGCCTGAGCTGCATAGTGAGACTCTTCAAAATGACAAAAAAATAAGGAAAGAAGGAAAGAAAACCAAAGCAAAGCAAGAGAAAAGAAACCTGTTAGAATCATAAGATTTATTACAAATAAACCTCAAAGGAAAAAGCCATGACAAAGCATGCTTATGCTTTCTAATATGTGAAATTGAGTCATATTTAAAAGTTTTCAATTAATATTTTAGAAAGGGTTGTAACAATGTTCAAATGTTAAGGTTGTGAGAGAAGTCAGGTTTCCAAGGCAAACAGTTTCTGCAGTGAATATTTCCACAGATGTCATCTTCTTTATCAGATATTTTTGTTTTCAAATTTATAAGTAAATAGTTCTCAGAACTGTTAAATATGCCCTTTTAATATTATAGAAAAGCTGTTTGTCTTTTATAATATATAGACTAAAATTCAAATTTTATCATGACAAGATAATTAATATAGTTTAAGCTGAATTTATGGTAATTCATCTATAAATATTGTTATTCTTTTCCTTATCTAACAAGTATCATGGCCACCTTAGTGGTTTGCCCTCGTAAAACACAGGTGTGTCAACTGGCTTTACTTTTTTCAAGGTTCCTCATTATATTGGTAATAAATTTGGTTGCCTCGGTTTTGTTACATATTGTAGCCCTAAATGAGTGAAAAAATAAGGGGTTTTTTGCTTTCACAGTGTTTGAGAGAAAAGCAAGGAATATTCTGCTCTGCTCTTTTTTGTGCTTTGTCTTTTACTTCACTCTTTTCATTTATTCCCCTCGTTCTCTTTCTTTACAGTGGCATGGTTGCTCTCTGATATTTGGTGTTGTAGATCATTTAAAGCAACACTTGCTGACTGATCACACTAATCCAAACTTTCAGACTCTGAAGTGTCGCTGGAAGAACTGTGATGCTTTTTTCACAGCTAGGAAAGGATCCAAACAGGTATATCAGTGGAATTCATGGTTTACCTGGGCTTTGGCAGCCTCCCAGAGCAGAGATCAGCAGATATTTTGGTTTTTTTTTTTTTGCTTTTTGGGCATATTCAAGATTACTATAGGGGCTGGGGAGATGGCTCACAGGGCCCAGAGATTTTTTGTTTCATTATTGAGAGATTTGGGGGATTTCAATGAATAAGAGCTGAAAATATTGTCAGATATTTCAAGTTCAATAGCTGATTCCAGTGATTTGTGCCAAGAACTCATCTTGGTTTTTTTTTTGTCTGTTTTGTTTTGTTTTTAATAATGATAGATCTACATCTACTTTCTCTTAATTCAATGAGAAGAAAAATTTGTACTAATAGTGTTTGGACAGGATATCATGTATGCATCTTGTACTATGAATAACTCTACCAAGACAACAATATGCAATGTATTAATTATTATAGCCGGGGAGATGGCTCAGTGTAATAAGTGCTTGCCTGGCAAGTACAGGGTCTTAAGTTCAATCCCCAGTTCCGCCAAAAAAATAAAAATAAAAATAATTATTGTAACTGGCCTACTAACCTGTTTTGAAACTGTCTCATTGCTATTTGTTTCTCAGTAAAATTAATTAAAAAATAATTTTGTTAAGAAAGAAGTAGCAATGAGATAGTTTCAATAAGAACTCATCTTTTTTTTTTTTTTTTTCCCATGGAACCAGGGATTGAACTCAGACCCTTGTGCTTGCCAGGGAAACACTTACCCCATTGAGCCATCTCCCCGGCCCCAAGAACTCATCTTAAAGAGCACAGTTCTACATAAATTAGTGGAATGTTAGCTCCTAACTGCATTTATGTATAGATACTCAGTATAGTAGACCCATCTGGCTTTTCACGGCTTTGATTTCCTACTGTCTTACTACCAACCTGCCTCTCATGACCCTTCTTCATTTTTTTCCTAGGATGCTACAGGACACATTGAACAACATGCTGAAGATGAGAGCAAAATACATTCATGAAGTTTTTTGCCTCCCATGTTGGGAAGTCATTAGCTGAACTATTTTCCTATTAGCCCCTCACACAGGCCACTGTCTTCCTTCCTCAGGGAAATAGGGAAGGAGAAAGTGGTTACCGGCCAGGCTGACCACTAACGTATGTCTGGGGAGCTCTGTGCGATGGTAGGCTACACTTCAAGATCTTGCAGGAGTGTTTAAAACTTAAACACTTTTAAAGAACCATATAGGTTGACATAGGGAGATTTGTTATCAGCGTTCTCCAGATGTTCACTAAAGATCCAGATCTTAATTGGTTGCCTAGTTTGGCCCCAGTCATATGTGTATTTTATTGATAATGATTTTTTTTAGGTTTTTTTTTTTTTTTTTTTTTTTTTTTTTTTTTTTTTTTTTGTAGTACAGGATCTACAGGGTCTCACTACATAGATTGGACCCATAGTGATCCTCCTGTTTTCAACCTCCTAAGCGCTGGGATTACAGGCCCAAACCACCATGCCCAGTCTCAATGTCCATCTCAGCACGCCCCGGGGGTGGGGCCGGCATGGCATGCTGGGGATCGAACCCCAGTCCCTGCATTTGCCGAAGCAGGTGCTTTAGTCTGCTGAGCTATCTGGCTGGCCCTAGATTATGTTCTAATAATAATGATGGCTTAGACCTATAGTCAGGTTTTTAGGTATAAGTTTGTTCAAATGATAAATTTTTAAGATCTGCTTTAATTTCTCTAGTTGCAATAACTGGATATTTAAATTGGAAGCAAATATCCTTTCTTGACAATTATGTACAGTGTGTTTCACTGTTCATCCACTTTGTTGAAGGGCAAAGCAGGTTTTAAATGCTACAGGGGACAGAGATTTTTTTGCTAAGCAGGTAGAGTAGCTGCTCTACTCACTGTATATTTTAGGAGTTCAGAAAACAAGTCCCACAGTGGTGACTGCTTGCCCAAAGCATTTCCTGGTGAGCTGCTGAGCCCAGTGTGAGACAGTATATAGCCCACCACTTGCCTTTCAGTCTTGCTGCTAGACCAGGGCGCTCATGCTGCAGTACTGTCAGGCTGTGGAACTGACATGTACCTTAAGGTTCCTGTCCAGCTTCTGGAAAACTTGTGTGGATCTGAACCTTTTGGTTTGCTCCTTAGTCTGCCCCTGCTTCCCTGTGTCTAGCTGTGCCTGGACCAAGGCAGCTATCAAGTGTTGCTCCAGACTCATGGGGTGCTCTCCACCTGCCTGTAGCACCCAGGATGGGAGAATTAGAATAAGGCAACTGGATACAGTTTTTAGGGCCTCTGGTAGGCTTCCTGGAGACTCTTTCCTTCACTTCCCCACTAGCTGGAAGAGGAAAGTGGAGTATGGTGGAGGGAAAGCCTGCCTGTCCATTGCAAATATTCAAGCAAACAAAACCTGAGTAGGACTGCTTTGTTTTTAGAATTCTTTGGACTCTTATTTGTAAAGCTATACAAATGTCTTTCTAACCTTTTTGTTTCTGGAATCTCAAAGCTCAGGTTTCTTCAGATAAGGAAGGGAAAATAGTCCATGCCACATTCTGAGCTTCAGGATATGACACCCCCTGTCACACTGCAGAGTACCTGGGTTATTCCCATGAACACACATCTGCATGCCTTCCTTCAGGCTCTGGGCCAGCGACTTCACCTAGGGTTCCTAGACAGACTGCAGGAGACTCTGCAAGCCCCAAAAGATATATATAAGATTATTTTTATTTTATTGTATTTTTTTTTTCCAGAAAAGGCTCCAGTGGTTCTGCCTAGAGCCAGAGCTAATTTAGGAGTTCCTTCTCCTAGATAATGGCTGGCCTCACAACCTATTACTTCTGTCTTTTTTGAATGTTCTCTTTTGTTAACCACACTGTTTAGATTTGCATGAGCTGAAGAGAGAACAGAGCTCTTGTAGATAAATTGTAATCATGCAGTTTCTCTGTGTGAAATTAACAGTCTTTTCTCACCTATCATCCCCATATCCTGCAAGGGTGACCATGGAAGCCACATTATTCTGTGGGTTTGGGAATAGTGATTTCCCTGGAAAGTCCATTTGGATTCATTGCTAACCCTGGCATTTTACTTTGGACTGCAGTGACACATTCCCACATGTGTAGGGTGGTGTGTTCACGGAGCCTGAACCAGGAAGAGCATAGTACCTTTGTTCAGGAGGAAAGGGGAACATGAAGTGCCAACTGTGGAAACTTCTAAGGGTGTTACAGGCTGATGGAGTCAGTAAGAACTAAATTGTGATTGGGTTCCACTTGGTAGAATTATGTGCATGTATCTGCCTCTGTTTGCATGTGTGAAAGTCCCTTTGTGTGTGTATATTCTTGTGAGCACCTATATTTAAAATCTTTCCTCATCTCACAATGTTGTCTTTGAGGCAGTAGTATATTTTTTTTTCCAAGGATACATGGAATTCTTAATACCAGATTAATGAATTATTCAGAGTGAACCTTTTTAGCCCTCTGTTGAGAAATAAAAGAACCATAAGTATCATGGCTGCTTGTGGTTGTGCTGGTACCCCTAGTGGCACAACTTTGACTGCCTTTTAGTCTCTCTTGGCACTCTTACAGTCATGGCCTCTCTTTCCCCTCACAGAAGAGCTGTGGCTCAGGCATCTCTGCTGACACTGGTGGGTAGCAGCTTCTTGAAGGAACTGTTGAATGACTGACAAAAGCTAGCACATTGGAGACCACTTTTTAGAATATTTTTGGTTTGTGCCTATTTCAGTATCTCAAAACCATATAATAAATCCTCTTGTGCATACATGCTAGTGTTTTAGCAGCCATTTGTTGTAATAAAATATCAATTGAAGTTTTATGCAAAAGTTTTTAATTAAGTTCAAAATATATTTTGTTATACTTCTACTTAGTTATAAGACAAATACAGTGCAAAAGAAGAGCAAAGAATGATCTTGCCCTGTTGTTACTTGAGTTTGAGAGGAAGTCGAGTGTTTTTTTTTTTGTTTTTGTTTTTTTTTTAACTACTCCTGCTTTGTGGGGAAAAGTTTTCTCCCTCAGAAGAGTTAGTGGTTAAATGTTTAGCTAATGAATTACATATAGTTTACAGTTATAACTGTTGCTTTGTAAGTGTTTGCCTAACAAGGGTTTTGTTCTGTCAGTTGTTTGGGGTAGATTTTACAGTGGACAACTGTAGTGATGAGGTATGTAGCTGATTTGGTGAGAGCAGGTGTACACTTAGCAGAATGATTGGCAATTTAGGGAATGGAATTCACTGGAGGTTGACGTGTATTGTGATGTGGGATTTGAGCAGCTCATATTCTCTAGTTTGCTCTAATGAGTGCAGTTTTCATATGCTGACTTAAAATTTTGTTCTTGTCACCTAAAGGAGAGCTCCTAGGATTATCATGAAAGTCATGCCTGCCACATTTATAAGATGGTGGTTTCATCCCTGTACTAAGTCATTAGGGTCCTTGGTGTTTTAAAGATAGTGGTCAGGGGCCAGGGATGTAGCTCAGGGGCACAGCATCTGCCTGGCAAACATGAGGTCCTGAGTTTGATTCCTGGTACAAAAAATCAGTGGTTGTCAGATAAGGAAAGGAGCTGTTGTAGAGGTTAGGGCTATACTGAGTTCCATATGCAAGTGAGTTGCAGTGCTCATGTAAACCAAACCCACAACTTATCAGACTCTGCCTCTGCCTTTACTTCCATCCTCAAATATGTGGTCTTTGATCTTTCCCAGATTTGCTCTAAATTCAAGTTAGTAACCTAAATAATTGGAGCCAGAGGGGGTCAAGAAGGAAATACCATTGAAGATCTTTCTTCTGTTAAAGAGAAATACAGGCCCTAAGCATCTCTAACATCCTTGATTTATTATTTTTTAATATTGAATATGAATTTAGAAGAACAAGATTACATGACACTTGTCTGCAAAAAATGTTTGTAAGCAATTAGCCTAGCCTTCCTACATTTTGGAATAAAGTTGTGAACTTCATAACTTTGTAAAGCAAGATATAAAGCAAATACAAGAGGAAAATAAAGTACTTTTACTAATGACTTCTTGTATAATCTTGTCTGCATCTTCACAGTTAACCCTTTTCCATATTGTCATACAGCATATATAAATGAAACTGGGTGGGAAACACAAGATGCTTATAGGTGGGCTGTAGACCATGGTCCAGGTAACCTTGACAGCAGGTCAGTCAGCAGGGGAGTTCTGATTAAAAAAGGCATCACTGCTCCAGTCACAGGTCACCCATTCATTTTCTTCACCAACAACTATTCCACCTTCTGTAGCTTGGAAAGTATCTGAGTGATTTTTGTGCTCAAGAAATAACAGTAGGTTAAAATACAAAAAAAAAAAAAAAAGAAAAAGAAAAAATAACAGTAGGGGGCTGGTGAGATGGCTCAGTGGTCTAAAGCACCTATTTAGAACAAGCTAAGCTAAGCAAAGCGCAGGGACCGCAGTTCAATCCCCCAGCACCACATGCCAGCCAGCCCCGACCCCTGGTGAGCTGAGCTGGCCACACACACAAAATAAATAAAAATTAAAACTTTAAAAAAAAAAAGAAATAACAGTAGGGGGGCCGGGGAGATGGCTCAGTGAAATAAGCGCTTCTCTGGCAAGTGCAAGGGCCTGAGTTCAATCCCTGGTTCTGTGCCCCCCCACCAAAAAAAAAGACTGATGGGGCCAGGGAGATGGCTCGGTAGAATAAGTGCTTCCCTGGCAAGCGCAAGGGCCTGAGTTCAATCCCCGGTTCCGCAAAAAAAAAAAGAAAAATAACAGTAGATAGATAGATAGATAATAGATAGATAGATAGATAGATAGATAGATAGATAGATAGATGGTTTTTTTTTTTCAAAATCAAAGTAGGTATATTTTAACAGGGATTACCTCAAAGGCTACAGTCATGCACTGTGCTATCCAAATGTGAGAGAAATAAAAAACAAAACAGTGGAACCAGCCATACACATGCTTTTATTTAGATCAACTCTCTTCAGAATGCAGCCAAACTTGTGAGTCAGAAACCCAAAGTATCCAGCTCTATACCATTTAGTATAGCCCAGAGCAGGCCACCCTGAAATAGGTAGATCCAAGTAGAAGTTTGGTTTCTCCCACAGTGAGGAGAGCAGAGGGTGAGGGCAGCTCCTGTATGAGTGCCCAGCCATTGGCATATACTTCTGCAGACAGTGCAAGCTGAGGCTGCTCAGAATCAGCAGGCCTCTTGGTGAGGCCACACACCACTGAGGCAGACACTTGCCTTCATGTGGCAAAGGGCAACAGTTGTCCTTCCAAGGGTCAGGCTGGTCATGAGAGATGAAGACAATATGGACTCGAGTAGGAACAAGACCAAGGAGGTGCCTGGAGGCCTTGTGGGGTTGCAACTGTACTGGGTTTTTTGAGGTAAATA